ATACTGGGTTTTTAAGTAGAAAAGTATAAAGAAAGAAGAGAAAAGGCCCATAAATCTTAACACGCAACCATTTGGCAAGGTACACAATGAAAACTCCAAGCCTCCCTGCCCTGTTTCTCAGTCCCTATCCCCACAGAAAACCACTGTTACATTTCTTGTGATTCCTTTTAGAAAAATAAGAAAATTGCAGAGGCTAAATTATCTAGCCTCGGGAAAAAAATAAAAAGAACTGAAAAAAAAAAAGAAAATTGCACAGGCAATTCTAATTAGCAGAAAGTTCCTCAGCACCATTTTAGGTATTAATTTCAACTCCACCAAATCTTTCACCAAAATTGCTAAGTTAAAATTCCAACCTTTGGTTTTGTTTTCCAGTCACCTGTGTATGTGCCAAGATAATCCAAAGAAGTAGAAGAAAGAAATAAAAGGAATCATGTACTCTTTAATTTTAATAGGCATTTAGCCAGTAGTCACAGTTTAACTGTAATCTTGCCTTAGGTCTCATTGATGTTTATAATCATACCCTAGTCAGTTATTAATGGTCATATAAGGAAAAGTACTCACAAAACTAACTTTTTAAATTTTCTTCTTTTTCCAGCTTTGTAGGTATAAGTGACAAGTAAAAATTATATATTTTGTATGTTGATCAAAGAGTACAAACTTACAGTTAAGAAATGAATAAGTTCTGGAGACCTAATGTATAGCATGGTTAATAACTGCATTGTATACTTAAAATTTGCTAAAAGTGTATCTTAAGTAATCTCATCCCACACACAGAGGGTAACTATGTGAGGTAATGGATATATTAATTAGCTCGATTATGGTAATCATTTCACAATATATGTGTGTATCAAAACAGCACATTATATACATTGAATATATATAGTTTTAACCTTCAAATACTCTAGAAACTAACTTTGGAGCTTTTTTGTAGCTCTACTTAAGATACATGTAGCAATATTAACATTTTAGATGATTTATTTGGAATTGAGAGAGTAGTTCAGCCTGTATCATTGTCTGCCTCAAACCCACATGTAAG